ACACACAGAGTACATTCAGAAAGTATTCATATCCCCTTTACTGTTGTCAATTTTGTTATGCTGCAGCCTACAGTTTCCGCAGTTGTTGAAATTCATTTTTTTTTCTCATTCATCTACGCTCAGTACCCCATAATGACAAAGTGAAAACAGAATTTTAGAAATTCTGGAGATTTATTTAAAAAAACAAACTGAAATATTCCATTGGCATAAGTATTCAGATCCTTCACTCAGTACTTTGTTGAAGCACCTTTGGCAACAATTATAGCCCTGAGTCTTTTTCAGTACAATGCAACAAGTTTTCCACTGCTGAATTGGGGGATTTTCTGCCATTTTTCCTTGCAAATTCTCAAGCTCAGCCAGATTGGATGGCTACTGTCAGTATAAAGCCATTTTCAGATCCTTCCAGAGATGTTCAGTAGGATTCAAAGTCAAGGCTCTGGCTTGGCCATCTGAGGACATTCAGACTTGTCCTTAAGCCACTCCTATGTTGTCTTGACTGTATGCTTAGGATATTTGCCATGTTGGAAAATGAACTTTCTGAGATACTGAGCACTGTGGAACAGGTTTTCATTGATATCCCTGTACTTTGCTCCATTCAGCTTTCCCTCAACCCTGACTAGTCTCCCAATCCCTGCTGCTGAAAAACACTCCCACAGAATGATGCTGCCACCACCATGCTTCATTGTTTGGATGTCATTAGGCATGTGATGAGCGGTGGTTGGTTTAGAATTGTGGCCAAACATTTCGATCTTGATTTCTTCAGACCAGAGAACTTTGTTCCTTACAGTCTGAGAATACTTCAGATGCTTTTTTTGCAAATTCCATGCTGACTTTCATGTGTTCATCTGAGGAGAGGCTTCCATCTAGCCCAGGGGTGTCAAACTCAAGGCCCATGGGCTGGATCTAGCCCCATGGGACCATCCTGGAAACAGCGAAGGACTAGCCCATGGTGCCTCTGCCAGCTAAAGTGGAGCTTGAGAGGGCCACACATGGCCCTTCCAAGTTCCATTTTTGCTGGCAGAGGGCTGCAGGAGGCCGTCGCAGCCAAAATCCTAGGCGTCCCTGACACAAGTGATGTCAAGCTGGTCACACCAATCCCGACCATGCCCACCCAGCCCCCTGAGGTCAAACACAACCCTGATGCAGCTCTTAATGAAATCGAGTTTGACAATCCTGATCTAGCTACTCTGCCATAAAGCCCAGGTTGGTGGAGAGCTGCTGTGATGGTTGTGCTTCTGGAAACTCTGTCCCATCTCCATATAGGATCTCTAGAGCTCAGTCAGAGTGACCATCGGGTTCTTGATCACCTTTTTTTACTAAAGCCTTTCTCCCCCGATTGCTCCGTTTGATCAGGCGACCAACTCTTGGAAGAGACCAGGTCATACCAAACTTCTTCCATTTGAGAGTTATGGAGGCACTGTGCTCTTTAGGAACCTTCAGTGCAGTAGAAATTTTTATTGTAGCCTTCCCCAGATCTCTGCCTTGCAATAATCCTATGAGCTCTGCAGACGGTTCCTTTGGTATAATGACTTTGCTATGCTACACTCATAGTATGCATTGTCAGCTGTGATGCCATCTGCAGAGAGGGTGTGGCTTT